TACGAACGAAAGATTTTTGAAAATTCGTTAATCTAGATTTTTAAAGTAAATTTTAAAAATTTTAAAAACCATATTTTTCAATTTAAAAATCTAGATTAACGAATTTTCAAAAATCTTTCGTTCGTATTTCAAAGAATCTGATTATGAACAACTTTAAACCAACATTTTTCCTTGAAAATACTTCTTTCGACCGAAATTTGGTTCAAGGTGTTTTTAAAAATAGTTTTTGCTCCAAAATTCCATGGGGTAGGTCAAAGCGGAATAACTCAATCAAAACTTGTCCGAATTTTTTTTATAGATACATCTTGATGACCTTTACCACCGATTGACATCAAAATCGAGATTATAAATAGAAATTTGAAAATTTTGAAGAAAGTATGGGTAAGATGCTGTGAAACAATTTAAAAAGAGAAGTTTTTTAATTTTGAATTGTTTTGTTAAATTTTAACAGTTTATAGAGGACACTTTAAAGTATATGTTCTGAAGTTTTTTCGGCTTACTGCCATTATTTGACTTAGAAATGAATTAATTGCTTAAAAAATATTGATAAATTTCTGACTTACTAGACTCACTGAGCAATCAAAAATGAGTTCTACAAATTTTAAGCTAGTCTCTCTTGTAGCCCGTGTGATATTGATCTACCAGATGAGATATTGTTGGAATTTTTTTATTATGCCGTTATTTTGTAAATGGGACTCTAAGCTAGTAAAGTAGACTAAATTAACGTTAATCAGCACTAATTAGTTATTAACAGAAAGGAAAGAGCAAACGTCTTTTCTTTCTTTCCCGTAGTAAATATTTTTCACACCTTTCTCTATCCATATAGGTGAGACAGAATCAAATTTTTGTGATGAAAGAGGAACAACCAGGAAATTTTTTAATAGTAACCCTGTGCTCATAAATTTAACATCATTATTGTAACCAATTAATTTTTTTCTGAGTCAAATAATGTCAGTAAGCCTAAAAAGCTTCTGAACATATACTTCAAAGTGTCCTCTACAAACTTGAAAATCTTAAAGAAAATCTAAATGGGGGACCTCTCCTTAACCTTTTCAATGTAACGTAACAAGCCATATTTTCTTGGTATAATAATTCTAAGGTCATCCCATCGTCGATGTTCTTTTCTTTCTCTCATGATCAATTAGTGTTAAAGGTAGTATTATTGAACAAACGTAGATATGTTCAAGATGAACGAGTTTGGTCTATTTGATTAACCAACACTTAAGTGATTCTTCGTACAACCTTGCACATACATTCTGCCGTAATTTTGAGCTGCTTTAAACCCATTCGCTTGCTTCGACTGTAGTTCAATTTGTTCAAAATGACTTTGTATACCAGATTTTATCTTGTAATTATAATATTTTCTTAAACTAAGTTTCAACTCAAATAATTTCAGCTTTTTGAATTGTTCTCTTTTTACTAACTCATACTTTCTTCGTCCCGCTACTCGATTCCTTTTACCTCAAACGACGCAACATTGAAAAGCGTCAGATATCCGTCGCTCAATTTTCACTTCACGATTCTATTTACTATAAACCTTAAACTATAAATGAAAGAATATTAATACCAAAACTCTAGAAGATCATGAATCAAAGCTTCTTGATCCTCAGTATTATTAACTTGTGTGGAGCTAAATCGGTATAAAACGTCATTTTGAACATACTATCCTAGTGCATATAGCCAAAGTAATAAGAGAGAGAGAGAGAGAGAGAGAGACAATGTTTTCGTTATTTTACAAAAACTGTCTGATGTAAAATCCACGTTAGTCGATCATGAAAATGATAGTAATCAACTTATTAATTGGATCAGTTATCTCGAAAGATAGATTATTTTATCGTATTTTAATTTTCGATAATTATAAATCTGAATTGAAATAATTCAAATTATAAAACGGACAATGCTATCACTTTATAGCATCTTCTATATTCTCAACTAGTAAATCTATATTTGGTTATATATTCATCGATTATTAATCAACATTTCTATCGACAGAAATGTTCTTAACTCATATTGAATGTACAAACACATTTTCCTATTCTTTATCTCTCTCTCTATTTTTGTAAGTTTAAATGTATGATTTTAATGTATATCATTTTGTTTTCCTGATGATGACAACAGTACGTTGTCGAAAGCATGAATAATAAAATCAAACGGAATTTTGTTAAAATTCAAAATAATATTTATAGCAGTACTGTACTCTCTCTTTCACGTTATTACTTTATTCATCTGTAGAAATGTACTAGAAATAAAGAAAATATTTTTAAAACTTCAATTTTTAAATCTTTTATTTTTATAACTAAAATTAACTATAATAAGAAGAAATATTTATTTATTACCATTCCATGATCAAACCATGGTCTACGAATGAAACATTTTTTGTTCGCAACGAATATTTACTACTACTAAACGAAACTGTTAGTGAACGATGAAAAAACGAGTGTTTCAGGCAGCTCCCTGTGAAGATGAAAAGAAAGGTTATATCAGATTTTTTTTATTTATGTCTGGGCAAAGTTGTTTTAGCGGAAAAATTTAGGTAAACTGTACGATTCGCCAGTCTAAAACTATTTGGACGTGAAGAAAACAAAGCTTTTTTAATTTTTTTGTAAAAATTTGAACAAAACTATGACTTTAAGCTATTTTAGATTTTCTTACCATTGTATATCTTTGCAGAGTTTTCTGTAATGGAGTGCGTGGTATCTTCATTATGTTCAATCAATTCCAGACGAAAACAAAAGAACAAAAGTTTTTATGGATGGCAAACGATGAGAGAAGACTGTCGAGTTGGTTTTAGATCGTCTAAGTAAACATTTGAAATTCAAAATTACATTTATATACCGCATGTGCGAGTTGAAAAACAGAATATCTTCTCATCTGTTCTATATCCGGCGCAAGATTCGTAGCCATATTTCAGCATATCTGTCTATCAGGATTATAATGAAAGAACGTATCTATCTTTTTTAATCTCTAATCCTGTCTGTTTTAATAGAAAAAAATTAGCAAATTGGTAAAAACGTAGATATATTTCAAAAATTGACGGACTTCTCAATTAAATACTGATGTGCGTTACTTACTAGAGAGAAAATTCGTTAACTAATAAAATGCATCGTTTTGAGCAGATATGTTGGTCTATACGACTGACTTGCATGCAAAAGGTTTCTAATGATATTACAGAATCTGAGCGTTAGAATTTTGTTTTTCCAAAATTCTTATTTCTAGAAATTTTTATGGAATTTTTATACACACAGTTGTTGATTGAAAACTCTTTCAGCTATTCAAATCTTTTTTCAGATGTGTTCTAGCTGTTTCGATCAAGTAGAAAAGTCAAAAATAAATCTTTTCCACAGTAGTGTACATCATGCATTTTTGTTTTTAAAATTTTCTAGCTCGTCGATAAATCTAAACGATTCACTTAAGACTTGTACACCGAACGGAAAAAAAGAGATGATGTAGTTTTGTTTGTTCTGCCTATTCTCTTCTTCGTTTCTTGTTTATTATTCTGTACATGACGGATTGTTCTGTAAAAAAAAAGCAAAAAGGAAGCATATGATTTGGTTTTTTAAGAGTACGATTTCAATTTTCAATGTTCATACAAAGACACATTGAACTTTGACAAACAGTATATACAACGTGTTTTTAGAATATGTTAGAAACATGAAACACACGTGAATGAACTAAAAAAATCTGTATTTACTTTTAAACGATTGCACGTATTCACCCCTATTGTCGAAAAGATAAGTAAAAGTTTAGTACGGAAAAAGGATAAACTTGAAGACAGAACGTCACATCATGAAGATTGAATTGACCTTTTTAGTTGATCAACATACATGTTGTGAGGTATTTTTGTACTTATTTCGATCTCCGAAGCATGAGCTCAGATGCAGGTGGAACATATATGAGCACTTATATCTTTGACAAGACACGGGAGATTAAGAACAGATAAAAGGAAGGTACAAAGACACGATAATAGGTTTTTCAAGACAGATACTTGCTTATCATATAGTAATACAGAATTTTTTCTACTTGGACATTGATTTGCTTTTTTTCTAGATGTCTAGAAATGATAGTTTAAACCCATCATCTACTTTGTCTAATGGTATCATCACGACTGTGTCTTCTCTTCCCTTATCAAACACTATTAGTTCCATTTCGTCGCCGTTGAAATCAAAGAGATCGGCTAAAAAATTGAATTCATTGTATACCAGCGATAATTATTGTCCAATATGCGGTGTTTATTTATGTTGTATACAATATATTTCAAATCAACTGACAGAATCTCAAAATGAAGAAGACGAATATCCACTTGACGATCGAATTCAAGAATTAGTTAGATATCATTTTCTGTCAACAAAAAATGAATGTCAAATGAAATTATGTCAGTGGCAACAAGACATGTTGCATAGAATGGAAGAAAAACATCAGAGAAAAACAGTAGCCTCGTTATCATCAACTTCATCATCACCAACATCAGGTAAGCTTGGTAAGTGGAAAAATCTAGTGATAGACTCTCTGTAGTGTTCTATTTGGTTAGTTAGAGTAAAACTTTGATTTAGCAAATAGAATGCTTTACACCAGGATGATCGCATGTTTTCTATATTATGTCAGATTTAACCAGTTTTCTGGGGTTTTACTAGAACTGATGAAATCGAGCAAAAAAGATATTATGCTTGATGAATGATGTAGAAAAAAGGTAATAGGGGTTGGAGGTTTTCAAATATCGAACATATGCGGTCTTTGCGACAGGATCTTAAGGCCCGGCATATTCATCCTAGTTTACAAGATCATACAATGGCTCTCAAACACTGAACACTGACAATTCTTAGCTACTCATCCACGTTCTTTTCTACCCGTTTTAGGTTACATATCAACACTTAACCTACCAGAAGCTACGCCTTCATATACATCAACCTCGTTATCTCAACAGACTGTCGCCCCATTAATTGATGTTACAAAACTAGAGAATGTTAAACCAATAAAAACTTATCCGATGTCAGCTCGTATCGGTGTGGCATTAGCTACATCGGACAAGTATATTATGGCTTACGAACATTTCCCAAAATGTTTAGTGATATTTGATCAACATGTCGAACATTGTAAATTACTGTTGAAAAAAGAATGTTACGATGTTATTGATATTTGTTGGTCTCCGTTTATTAAAGAATTTTGTTGTATTACCCGAGATGAATTATTCACATGTGAACCAGAATCAGGTATAAATGGGAGATAATTGTAGTATAAGTGAAGGATGCAATATAAAACCCTGATAATTCTAAATAGGGTCTTCTCTAATAAATGAATGATACAAACTTTACATCGATGACTCTTATCTCATCTTCCTATTGTCATCAATGTTATTGTACAGTGTTTTATACTTTGTTTCTTTAGGTTTAATCCATGAGGTTGAACCTCTTCAAATGTCTGTTAATGAACTAATAACATCTGTGGCATGCTCTCATGAACAATACGTTTATTTATGTTACTCTTATGGTGCAGTTATTGAACAATGGTCAATTCCACATTGGAAATTAGAAAAATATTGGAAGAAAAAAGTTGACATTTTTTTCGGTAAGTTATTATACGATCAACTGTAATAAAAAAATTCTTCTCATGAGAAGTTCCTAAAATCAACGATTTAGAAATCTTTTAGCATTTAACAGAGATGAATTAAAATTTGATTCATTTTCGTAGCAAAAAATGTCAAAAGTGAAATGAAGTATTCGAAGCATCAAACATCCTTAATTTATCCGTTAGTAGAACATTAACTGTCTTATCAGTGTACATTTTCCACCTTATTTAGATAACGAATTTTTGGTTGGTTCGATTCGTTGTGGTTTTGAGCCGACAGATCCATACTTACATGCAATTATCAAAGATGGTGATGGTACATGGCATATTGATTTACTTGATCCAAGAGCAAATATGCAAAAATTTAAAACAATTCCTATTGAGAAACGAAATGGTGGTTTTCTATCTCAATTTGTACCATTGAATTATGGTCAAGGTTATCTCTGTGTTGGGTAAGCGAGCAAAACTATTGAAATCAAAGTTCAATCATTTTATTCTATATACTAAAATATTAGAAATATCATTCTCTGACAATTAATATTATTCGTTTAGAGATTTTTCTATTTTTCATTTTAGTTACAATCATATGAAATTGATTGATGATTCTAATGGTGAGTGGAAAAAAATTATTTTAAGAGAAGAAGAATCAAAATTGGCTATTGTACATAATGTATGCATATTGAAGAAGAAATTTCTAGCTGTACGTGGAAATGATCATGTTAGACTCTATAAACTCTAATACAGAAGTGGCTAAATTTTATTATTATTTTTTGTTCTAACTTTTTAACAGTATGTATGTATGTAGGTGTGCGCTTATTATACTTTGTATTATGTTTGTTTGTTTTTGTTAAAAACTAGTTTTTTTTGTCCTTCTCTACCAAATATTGTTCTTGTTGTTTAACTTTATTTTTTTGCTCTTCTTGTTGCTACTGTTCTTATTCTGGCCAGTCTTATTTTTTTAGACAAGAAATAAATAAATATAGGAAGGAAATCACAGTGAAGATTTATATGAAAGTCATATCTAGAAAGCAGCGTTATCGATTCTCGACGAAGGGGTGACAAACCACCCTCTCGTTTGGCTACAGTTACTCAAAAAATTTTGACTTACTCAAATTTTTTAAGAAATTTAAGTTGAGAAACTGCCTTTTATGCACCTGAGTAAGTGATTTTGTCTAACTTCTGAGTAACTGAGTTACTCAGAAAAAACTTTTAGTCAAAAATTGCGTTACTCAATAAAAAAACTTTAGTTACTCAGCAGGCTCGCCACCAAAACTACTATCAAAAACACTAGGAAAGGAGGGGTTCGCATATGACTGATAATGGGCACACTTTATTTTTTGTCTAAAAGTGACTCTGTGAGTAGTAGAAAAGTATTATCAGTCGGTTTTAAATCGTTTCGCGTACTTTTGGTAACTAAAATCGGGATAATTCTTCGTTAATAGGGTGCCAATAGCTCATCCTTCAAAGATCAGCTATAGATTACGTAAAAGGTGTTTTTCTCATCCTTCTTTCATGTAGACGACAAAGTGAAACTGAATTTTGAGGAAAGTTCACCAATTCAGCTATAACTATACAAAAGTAGAATACTCCAATCTCACTAAAAACCCAACCAAACCGCTGGCCAGAGGAGTAGATTGAACAGTTAGAATACCAAAACAACTCCATGATAAAATATCCTCTTACGATGGATTTCTAGAAAATCTCTGAAAATCCCAATAATAAGAAAACACATGTTTTTACTTTTCTAACTCTATCGACATGTAAATCAAGGAAAAAGAAGTATTTTCTGAGAGTTCCAAGCTGTTTGGTTGGGTTTTGAGTGAGATTGAAGTATTTTACTTTTGTATAGTTGTAACTGAATTGGTGGATTTTTTTCCTCAAAATTCAGTTTCACTAGGTTTTTCCACCTTTGCCTGGAAAAGAACATTGCCATGAGATTCAGTATGTTGGATAACCTATGTTTCCATTTACTTCAGAGGTTATCCGAGGTCACCTAATACCAGAGACTCTCAGCAAAACTGATACCACGCCTAAAACTACAGAGGCTAAACCTGCTGATCATGATATTGTACGTAACTTACTTCGTAGGAAATTCGACGAGCTTTAAAATGGTATATGACACAAAATGTGCTTATTTGGTTAATAGTGTAAGAAATAGTAAAAACGGGAAGTATGTTGCATCTTTTCCTAGCCGGTTTATTTCTGGTCCATTTCCTACGACTGCTCCCATCAATCTTGAAATTCTGAACGTGCCAGTTTGTAGCAAATTTCATGAGTTCAAGAATGATGTATAAAATAACACTGCGGTTAACTGTTATGTTGCACGCATTCTGTAGATCGAATGATATATCTACTTTGTCGTCTATGCGAAAACATGAGAAAAACACCTTTTACGTAATCTATAGAGGGATGAGCTATTGGCACCCTATTAACGAAGAATTATCCCGATTTTAGTTACCAAAAGTACGCGAAACGATTTAAAACCGACTGATAATACTTTTCTACTACTCACAGAGTCAGTTTTAAACAAAAAATAAAGTGTGCTCACTCCCTCCTAGATTTTATGCTCTACACTAAAACGAAAGTATTACTGTTTAATTTGTCTGATTAACTAACTAATATTTTAAATGAGTATTTGCTATGACATCTCAAATGTGTGATAAATCATCCTTGGTTTCCCTCTTCATTCTCCTTCCACTCACGATAGGTACAACTGATTGATTAGTGAAAAACAATAGTGAATTCAAAAGGTGTATCTTTTTTCTAAAAGGTTTTTTCTTCACGCATTCATGTCAAAATTTAACTAGAATAGATATCTTTTATCCTTAAAACAAAAAACAATAGCAATAATTAACAAAGACATCTTGTTACACTCATGCTTATGTATTCTTCATAAGAGATATACAAGAAGATTATTGGATTTGCAGTTGAAGAAAACAACTAAAGGCACATGTTTCCCATGAATAGACTCATTTTAACCTATGTCAACTTATAACACAAACAGATTGCTTTTCTTCAAAGATCAAGCGTCAGCAGTTGGTTCTAATATCCGCCTTGCACTTCAGCGTTAGTCGTACTACTGTTGTGTTGTTTTCTAAACACGAATTTTATTTTTTTAACTTTTTTTCCTCTACATCATATATGAAGACAGCAAATGAATGAAGGAATGAATGAATGCATGAAAGAAAACAGAACACACAAATAACAAGAGCAAAGAGAGATTGCGTGGATATATTTGGATGCATGTGTGGGAAGAAGAGAACAATAACAGTAACAACAAACATTCTTTTTTTTTCATATTGCCAGTTGTTAACACACTAATAGAGATAGAGTGAATTTTTTGTACATAGAATTAGAAAAACAGGTAATACACACCTATTTTTCTCTCTAACAGGCAGATGGTTTATGCAAGAGGAAAAAACACGAAAAAAAAGTCAAAAAACAGAAAAAAATTCTATCTAACACACAACAAACTGTATAACAGTGACCTTTGTTAGAAACAACACAAAATAGTGGTGGTAGTAGTCATCATCGCAGATGATGACAACGACCCATAAAGACAAAAAGAAAAAATATTTAATACAGAGAGTGCCAAAGAGAAAAAAAGAGAAAACATTTTTTTGTTTGCTAATGATTCATCTCATCATATACGATGAAAACTATTTGTGGTGTAGACTGCTGTGTGTGTCTTGTTTTTGTTGTTAATTATGCTTCCTCTTCGTCATCATCTTCTTCCTCGCCGACACCTTTTGAATCATCATCCACGTCCGCACCACCGACAGCACCGTCATCTAAATGACGAAGTAAAAAACTAAAGAATTTTCGGAAAAAGAAGAGGTATAAGTTCCACTTTCTGACTATTTATAGAACAAAAATAAAAGAATTTCAGTACAAGTTTTCGTGCACATCAAAAGAGAGATCCTCACCAGTCAAAACTTATTGGTCTGACCGGTCTTGAATATTTTTCAGTCAGGTCGTTTTCAGTTTCTTGCATCTTTAATCTTATATTTAATTTAGAGAAATGCAATCGCATGAGCATTTGTCAGAAAACATAAGCGTTTGCTTCATATATAAAATGTTAGATTAACTGTACTCAAAGAAAAAATCTCAGCTCGACTTGACGAAAATACTTTTCTACCAGACCAGTGCCGAGCTCTGTGATAAAAGATTTATTATCCATCCAAAATGCCAGTAGCCGCGGATGTTTTTCCAATAGCTTTTGACAGATAAAAGATGAAAACATGCGGCTCTCAGTGTGTTGTAGTCAAGATGGTTAATAATATTTTATTTTGCTTTTAACCAACTACGTAATACGACTATTCCGCGAACACCTGCTCTTCATACACACAAACGAATGAAAGTAATAAAGTCCTACTACATAAAGCATTTCTAGATTCAAATCATTCGTTCCGTTCCGGGAAAGCTCGATTTAGAACAGTGTATTCTTCAAAACTCAACAGCATAAAATTCAATACTTCAAAACTAAAGATATCTTTGAAACATCGTGCTTTTTCTTTCTAATCAATATTTCTAATCAAAACAACACAACTATTTAAGAAGGAATAGAAAATAGACAAACAATATACCATCATCGCTTTCTTCTCCTTCATCTGGACTATCGTCTTTGTATTCTTCATCTTCTTCTCCTTCATCATCGTCTAAATGAAAAGAGCCAAATTGTATCGAATACTACTCATATACGGACAAAACCAGAGTTCGAAATTCACAGCTACTTTCTTCCACAAAAGAAACATCCCTTGACAGTAATTTTGATTTAAATTAAAGCAAAAGTCTTACACCAGCTAGTGGAACTGGACATCTAGAACTACCTAATTCAACTATTGTTAAAATATCATTAGCATTTTAAGTAGACAGTACGCAAAACCCTTCTCGTTCTTAGACTGGGTATAGTTCTCGAATACTTGTGAAACTTGATGTTTATTTACATGATAATTTACAGTCATAGATTAATCTTTTGTTTACTATGGTTCTAACGAAAAAGCGTCCTGTGATTTAGGCAATAAATAAACAATTTTTCCTCCCTCTAGTAAAGCAAAGATAAGAAACAGTTGTGGAACTGATAAATTTTTGATTGACATGCATCGTTCTAGTGCATTAAAATAAACAGAACGCACTCCTAATACTTTTTTTCTACTACTTCTTGGCAAAATAGAGATGAATGGTTTCAGTTGATGAAAAATGTGCTAGTTTCGCTTACCTTCGTCATACTCTTCATCAGCACCTGTGGCTGCCGCATCACCGCTTGCTGCTACTGTGGACGATGGTTTTCCATTTCGTTTCGATTTTGTTCCAGGCTAAAAGATAAAGAGATAAAGTGTGTTATTGAATTGTAGAGAAAATGGCGAACATAGTGACATATATGATCAAAATTCACTTACGGCTCCCGCTGATGGTCTTGAATCTTCTTCTTCGTCTTCTTCATCAGCCTCTCGCGAATCATCTTCCACATCATCTTTTTCAGCTGTTGGCTCTTGACCTTTGTTCGATGATTTCACTGGCGTTTTTTTTTTGCCTTTGGTCGTTTCTTGTTCTTCATCTTCATGGATTCGCTGCGAGTAGAGAAAAAACATAGTAAGAAACTTTTAATGGTGAAGAAAATATAAGCATGAGACGCCTCAGATGCAGTTTTAATTTTAGCCAGTTCCCCAGCAAAACGAAGAAAGCAAGTTATCTTTGATCAAGCCGTTCAGATTACTTCTCATGTGCCCAATAGCTAAAAGCATACTTAACTTCAACTTCTGAGATACATCTATTCTATCTCAGTGATATGATCTAGAATTTTCCAGTAAAAAAGCAGGAAAACGCAATATAACAATGCTTTTGATAAAATGTGAATGACCGTCAAAGACTACCGGTTATACAGTAATTTAGTTGGTTGACATTTACTGCAGAGATCTATACGACTAATGTCTTGAACATCGGTTTATGCTTATTACTTTGTCCACTGATCAAAGTATAGAGAACATTACAAGGTCTCACAGTCAACCTTCTTCAATACACCAGTCTTCAAACGTTAGCCAGTGTTTTTAATGATGCGTACCATCAGCAGCTACAAGGTGTCATTACATGGTACTTCTGCAGATTGATCATACACTCACGCTCCTCCCACACCACAGTAGGGAGTGTGATCGATCTGTAGAAGAACCCATTACATTCCAAAAATTGGATTGGCACTTCCTTTTTAGCTGGAAAAATTGACAGGTAAACTGTGGACTGGTACTACATTCCAAATTCTCAGTGAAAGCATTGAGATGAACCTATTTCGTACCTTCGATTTTTATCTCTTCAAACTCACTTTTAGCTCGATCATTAAACAAAAAAATATCTACTTACTTTTTTTCCTTTTGTTTCTACTTCAGACATATTTGCTGGAAAATTATACTATTAATTAAACCAGATATGACAAAGAAAAAGCCTAACTCACAAACAAAGAAATTAATTCTGATCTATCTAAAACGAATAAATTGCATCAAACAGAACCAGATCTTGAAGGGTTCCGGGTTTAAGGGAAGATAAGAGAGTATATTGGTCTAGTCACTGTGTTTAGTTGATCTCCGAGAAAGATCCGTCAAACAAAGAGAGAGTGAATCCTTTCTTTCTTCGTGATCAGTTCATTGGTTGTCATTGACGCTATTCCTTACCTCTATAAAGATGAAAATAATTTTTAGACTATATTTGTAGTAACTGTATATTTATATATGAAATTTATCCAATTATCAGTAGTTTTTTCATCTATACACTGCTTGGATTCATAGCAGTAAGGAAAGCCAGCTATACTGATTAGGTGTAGGTATTAGAGTGCTCAAAATACATCATCCTAATAAAAAATTTTACTGTGGAAAGATTCAAACGTACACTTTAAAATTTAGACTGTCTACCTTGAACGACAACAATTTTTCAAATAGGGAGGGCGCTAAATAAAGTTTGATTGGCGCTATACGTCGGCCCTAAACAAAGGGTCTGTCTCTCTCTTGACAGTTATTTAGTTGATTACTTGTTAGAGCTCTTCTTAACTGAAAGCAGAGAGTGCTGTTGTAATACGTTGCTCATCTTGATCAGTGCAGTGGTTTTAATAGAGATCTTTGTCACTGTTCTACTGTGGATTCAGCGTTACAGTGGAAACTTCCATGATAGTTGTTGCCGACATAGTTTTATCCGAGTTTTACACTTAGAAATAGAGCGGAAAATTTAAAGCTGTAATTTAAATTACCATCAAGTTCAATTTTTCGTGGTAATATATAGCGGAAGGGTCAACCTGTCCACTATATCATAAAAAACATGAATTAGTGTACAGACCGATATATAATGATAGCATTCGAATGATGTCATTATTCACCCCCCTGAGCTTTCTTGTTTATGAATTGAAAGATCATCAAAGGATGCTAAATCCCACTATTCTCAAAAAACTAAAAAGAAAAATAACATAGTCAAATGAAACTGGTGCAGCAAAATTTTTCTCAGTGCAATGATGTTGATTGACTTTGATTTAGTAATAAGACCTTGTCTGTATAACAGCATATAAGAGGTATTGTTAAAGGATACACTTTAGACAAAGCCAGAGAAGGTAAATGTAAAAAATTAAATTTTTTTTCCGATCAATCCATTTACGTTATTTAACTCATTAAAAACAAAATAACTGAATAATAATAACTGTAGCTATAATGACGACTATCTCGCAGTCTTAAGAGTTTAACGAAAATTGCAGCTGTCTTTTAAATGAATATACTACCACTCTGTGAACCCTTTACATCCACCAGTCCCTTTCAAGGACCATTGATATAGTAGATTTATAAAAACAGCAGATCATCAGCCCAAAAGCTAAATTATTACTAATGTAAGACAATAAAGTAACCAAACGTTTGATTGAAATCCGAAGAAAAATTTTCCGTCTTAATCTGGTATATTTAAATTTTAAAACTGAATGAAGTTCATAAATGAACTTTTATTTTTAAATATTTTCTATACTTCTAGACACTAAATCATTTTCTAATTTTGTAGTTGATAATGGAATCCTGCAGGTTACGACTTTTTGACAACCTATAACCTAACCTATAAAAATGTTCACAACCTAAACCTAATCTAACCTACGAAACTCGTAACCTAAGCCTAACCTAACCTATTAATGTTTTCCGTAACCTAACCTAGGTTAACCTAATACAACCTTTTGCAATTTTTTCTCAAAACCTGATTTCAGAAGCCCAAACTTCAGCTTTGTTCCATATCGTTATTGCTTTTCGTCTAAACACCGTCTGAAAGGTAAGCTTATACAAAATAAATCACATTTTACATGAATATAGAAATGAATCGGTTGAGTCTTTTATTCTTTAATGTAATCTCTGGAAAATAGCTTTCTGAATAGGGAGACCCTCTTAAGAGTAGACCAGAATTCCACTTTAGGCTCTCGATGCTATGAAGGTTCTGTTATTGTTGTGTATTCGCCATCTATCTTTAGCAAACGTAAGTTCTTTCTCTGACTTTCTTTTTTGATTGTGCTGTTTTTCAGTTTAAACTAATCGATAAAATTCCACTCGTACCACGCTTTATTACTCAAAGTGTTGACTGTTTTAAAGTGGTCGTTCAAAATCGTTTTTTTTCCTTTGGGTTAAAAATAGGTTATCAATGGCGTAACCTACATAAAAAATTTGTAACCTATAAAAAATTTCATAACCTAAACCTAATCTAACCTATAGGTTAGGTTAGGTTTAACCTGCAGGACTCTAGTTGATAGTTTTAGTTGTATGGATATATACTTTATAATGAAATAAAAGAAATTTTTGTAGCATTTTTCTTTGCGTAAAGGTGCTGTGAATTCATCGTCCCTTGGAAGGGACATTCGGGTGTAACGATATGAAAACTGAATTTTTTTATCTGGTTAGCGTGAGTTATTCTGTGATCACACGCTACACATCTGAAATGAGTGAATCGTCGCCTACAAACGTTTTTCTCTGATCGATATAAAAAAATACATCGGAATGCGTTTAAAATACTAAAATAAATTGAGACGCGTCTAAACTATCTTTAGTTTGTTGAACAATATTGTATGAGCACGTCTAGACGCGTTAGAGACATTTCTCACTTTCAAAGAATCGTCTAGTTGTTTTTAAAAAACAATTATATGTACATCTGAGCACACTCTGTTTAATCAGATTCTCTAAGCGCGTTTGAACGCTTATGGGCCGTCTACACGCGTCCTTCATTCAATCGAAAAACAAGATGTCTCCGAACACACTTTTCTCTGATTGAGAGAAAAAACGTACATTTAGAAGCGTCGAATTCGAAAAACTCGTTCGTTGGAGATACTGAAGGTTTCACAAATTTTTCGTTTTTCTAAAAAATGCACGATTTCAGCAAAAATCACAGTTAATCGAGATTTATTAACGATTTTTCCTCAGAATCGACGATTAATCAGCAAAAAATTCAGCTGAAAAATCACGATTAAACAGATGGTTAATTTGCTTTTTATCAGCCATTTCTTCCCGATTTTGACGACATGGGAAGCATTTAACTTTTAGTACACAGGCTGATATTACAATTCAAAACGCCTTGTTGATTTTTCTGTTTTTCTCCTAAGTTTAATCATGTTATTGAATGTTCGCATAGTTAACAACTTTCAGTCTACTTTGGCCTGCCAAAGCACGAATGATCGGATTATTGTTGCTTTGAAAAGTTTGATGATTTCCATGAAACAACGAAATTGATATCGAACATTGGTAATAAGGACACTAGTAAGATTTCAATTTTTCAAAAAAATAGCACTTATTCTTGTAACAATTAGTAATTAGTTTTAATGAATAAAAATTATAATATCAAACAGTTGTACATGTAAACATAACTTGTGTATGGTATAAATCTATTCGCACGTGTGATTAGACGCTTCTATCAGTATTTCATGCCAAAATTGATTTGACCTTGCTTTTAGCTATTTGACTATGACGAGTTTTTTAAGTTAGCAATGTACTTTATAGATAGATAGTCGGGAAAGATATGGTTTATCTCGCCCGTTAGTTAACAATATCATCGACATCTGGTATGCAGTGAAAATAGAAAGTGTCAAGAAGCATAATAAATTACTCCGTCTGTTTCTTTTGATTTTTTTTTCTATAAAAATAGCTAATTGATTTTTTCTCGAGATTCGGAATATATACTAGAACAGAGGTAAAATTAGAATAAAATTAACAGAAACTTGTCATAGTCATTTTTGTTTCATAAAACTAATCGAACAAACAGTGAGTTAACAATGAACTGTTTAGAATTCCATACAGCATGTTATACGCATTTCTGGTAGTTTAATTTCATAACAGAATAGTTACCACGTGTATTAAGTGATCAATATTACAAACAGTGAGACTTATTCGAACTTAATTCAATATGAACTTTTAGATTTTGTTGACTCTTTTCCATTAATAATAATATAAATCGCTGAGCATAAAAGAACGTATTTTACTTTAGAGAGAGAGAGAAAGAATTGATCAATTCGAACCATACAAATGCGTCTTCGTCTTTATCCATTCATTCAACAACCTTGTCCAAAAGTCACTCGTCGAGCGTATGAAGAGATTATTTATGGTATGACTAAAAATCAAGTTGCTCACATTCTTCAAAGTGGATTTCAGACCCCCGGTACGGGATTAACACAATTTCAAGAGGCGTATGGTATGCCATTGCGCATCAGCTATGAACATTATTATAATAAACTATTACATAGAATGTCAGCCCTATTCATCTATGAAAATGGACTACTTGTATATAAATATCAACAGGGACTTCGTTAAAATGCGTACTGAATGAGTGAAAAACGCTATATAAGGAGCTTTAAAATAATACCTGATATACAAAATAAAATTTCCCATTATGTTGTCAACATTTTCGACATCATTGCTTCATTTATTCATTCATTTAAGACATAGAAAGTGATCAAATATGTTACAATATGGTGTAGGGAATGCGCACCATCCCAACTTTTAAAAGAGTATTGTTTTTTGCCTAACGGGTGATCCGAAAGTTTCCGGACAAAATGTCTGCTCATCTTTGGACCACTTGGAAGTAGTTCCAGCCAGTACGAATCTATGCATTAGAACCGGTATTCTGTGCTCTTTCCGAAGATAGGCTCAAAAATTCTGTGTTGCTTTCCGTTCGGGAGTTCTGAAATAATCTTTGACAAGGCCAAACACTTAGTCTGGACGGAGCTTCCATGCGAAAGTTTCTGATCTAAGTATTTAATCATTTTGACCTACGTGAGAGTATCTCAGATGGCCAAAACTGAGGTCTCAGATAAGAATTCCATCCTCTTTCTGACCGTGGACCTGAAAACTGTCTTAGTTTTCGTTTAACAGTAGCAAACGGATTTTTCGAATACCTAGACGGTTTGTTTGACATATGAGCAAATAGAGTTTGTGACATCGTCTAATTCTCTTCGTGAAGGTTCTAGAAATTCTTGGATGAAGTAATTTTGTAGAATAAACAATGCTCTACAAAATGTGACCTAGAAGTAAGCTGTATCTTTCACGAAGCAAAAGATATACACGTTTTCCCAATAGCTCTTTCGACGGGAAACTCGTTTTGCTGAAACAGTGGTTTTTTTCAAAAAATGAGACTCAGGAAAAACAAAAATGTAGAAGCCTTGTCGAACGGCAAAAGAAACTCAAATCCCACGTTTTGTAGGGTAGATGTTGCTCCACAATCTGGTATATTTCTGAAGGTTTCACCCCTGACTTTTGGATCATAGCGATGAAAATACAAAAATGCATGGGAAAAATATCCGTCCAGACAAATTTTTTAACCCTGTCAAAGATTATTTCCGAACTCCCGAACGGAAAGCAACACAGAATTTCTGAGCCTATCTTCGGAAAGAGCACAGAATACCGGTTCTAATGCATAGATTTCTACTGGCTGGAACTACATCCAAGTGGCCCAAAGATGAGCAGACATTTTATCCGGAAACTTTCGAATCACCCGTTACTTCTTATACCATCTCTACGAAGAAATTTTCTCGAACATTTTTCATCTTGTTGGTTCTTTAGAGATGTATCTACTCTACACACGTCATTGCCTTCGCCACATCCCTGATAGTGTGCTACAGCTTTGTCGAGCTACCTATTATTTTCTGCTCAACTGTGAGTAAGAATAGACAGAAAAGAAACTGATTTCTGTTTGTTTTTGATTTTCTCGTGGTAAAACTAGCATCTTGCTTTGAATTTTACATTCGTGGTTACACTCTTATTGAAAGCGAAAAAGTGAACTTTACAAACAATTTCTGCTATCAACGTTACTACAGCAAGAGACTTACTAATATACTGCAGTTAATAAGAACGGGAGTCACTGAATACCACGATTAATCCCAAACAATCAATATGAAGAAGAGAAAGTTATCGTTTGTGACATAAACAGACAACATCAAATCAAATACATGATATGTATTTACATTCGTAAATAGCCATTAATCAGCTTATAGTTTTAATTGAATTATTTTTTCTCAGATTATTTAATTTTTATCAAGAGACACGCTTTTGCTTAAAATTATATTAATTATATAGTTACTGAGTCACTCACTATTCCTAATAGAAAAGTTAACTGTTCGTCTGTAGAGTTCTATTCGTTTCTCGTTTGCTCAAGTGTGCAAACTACTGTTTTTAATAGAAAACCCTTATCCTGATGCATTGTTTCACTGTTGAGTCAACGTCACAGTAGAAATTTTACAGATAGAATTTGGCAATAAAATCAAAATTCACTTCATAATCAGATTTGTAGTTACGAACACAGCAGAAATTTTAAAGTCACGGAGGAAATTACAGTATATTTCAGTTTTTCATGGTGGATTACTGTGACAAGTACGCTTATCCACCGTACTATTAAAAACACGGGTGCGAACGTTGAACTTTTAATCTAACAGATGCATCGATTGAAAAATAGGTTGAATAAGGTTCTTACATCGGACTCAAGTAATAGATGGAATAATTTGAGAAACCATCCAACATTTTAGTGCCGCCGACTGAAAAATTATTATTTGTAGACGCTATTATCAAACCGCATAACGATTGCAATAGACACAATGACCCAAAATATCTTACATTTTTGGTGGATTTTGTATTATTTAATAGTGACATCTGACTCCATGCCACTTTGATATGTGCTGTACACAATCGCATGATATACTGATAGTCTATTCGTTCTCTACTTTCATTTCCTTATCCATGATATACCTCTTGACCATTATTTTGTTATGCTCTCAGTTTATTCATTTCGGATGTAGACTGTGCAACTTATTCTGTGATGCACAGAAGAATCTCTTCGATGAAATTCTTTGTATTAAAGTTTTGAATTTGCGCAAGAACCAAATAGGATTCAAGTGTTTCTAACTGTAAATCTGATTATGAAGTGAATTTCGATTTAATTTCCAAATTCTAACTATAAAATTTCTACTGTGAAACACGAAATAAAGCTATTAGTCAGAGAGAATTTGAAAGTATTAAGTGGGTTAGACAACTTGTAGTTTGTCCAACTGAAGAGCATGCGTTTGATTTTGTATCCTTCAGTCGGAGCGCCAAGCCTAAAATGCTTAATAGAATAACGTTCACAATTCAAAATCTTAAAGTTTGCCCACATTATGCCTGAAAGAATGTATCTCAATCAGAGAACTTATTCCTAAAATATTTTAGGGATAATGTGGGCAAAATTTAACATTTTGAATTGAGGACAGCGTTATTCTATTATGCATTTTAGGCTTGGTGCTCTGACTGCTTTGTGTGTGAGCCATTCCCTTCTTCATTACATAATACATTAATAAAGTTAAGAAATCAGCTTTTTTCTTGTAGACATATGATATTCTTCTTTATTAGTTGTTTAATTTCGAAAAATAATAGAGAATTACACTCTGTACAACAACACTTTTAATGAAAAAGTCAAAAAATATTTTTGTAGCAGATTAATCATATTTTGTTTCGAATGAGCTGTTGAATCTACTGACCGTACACACTCTGATAGCTTGTTTAGGGTTTATGTCTGTATCAAAATGGAAGCGAGAACAAATTTTATTATAACGTTTTGGCTTTAAACTACTACACGCTATGAGTTTGAACAGAAAGAAGCTTAAACAAGAGAAATTGGAAACTTAATTCATAGTTTTTAGCCTATATTTTGTTATTTTATATAACTTATTGAAATTGTTCACTCTACCAATGTTACCTATTTTCTTTTCTTTTTTGTCTCTCTTTTAAATTTAAGCCATAAGAAAAATATGGCAGCATTAGAATCACTATTAGAACAACAACGTCGTTATCACGAAGAACGTGAGAGAATTATGGATACAATGACAAGGGAAATTTTGAGAAAAAAAGCAACGGTATATCATTATTGTGCTTATTACATAGTTTTCTTTTCTAATTATTCATTCGTTTTTAGCATCGCGAACAAATTAACTCTGAACATGTTGTTAAACTTTTATTAGACGTAAGTCTAAAATGTAGATTTATTAAATTTAGTTTGTATTCTTTTGTTTTTCATTTAGCGTTATACTGACTGTACATCACATGTCAGAGACGTGTACGAAGATAAAGATGGGTAAGAACTTGTTTTTCCAAAGATATATAAACATTTGCTTATTTATTCTGTTTATTTTTATAGTACACGAAAAGAAGAAATCCAGTCATTGTCAGGTCCAAACGAATTTGCTGAGTTTTATTCAAGATTAAAGACAATAAAACAGTTTTATACAAAAAATCCTACGGAAGATGTAAGTGGTTCCTATGTAATATAAACAATTATAGTCACCTTCTTATTTAGATTGCAATTCCAATGTCAATGGAATATGATGATTTCATGCGATCATTACAAGAAACAGATGATGAACCTCTAGGTAACTTCCATGATTTCAATTGAAGAGTAACAGACAATTCTCGCTCACCAATGGACTGTACTATTCCAGTTTTCTCTATTATTCTTTTTTTTAGCTCTTGTCAATTTTACAGATGAAGAAGGTTATGGACGTTTTCTTGATTTACATCAATGTTACGAAGTTTACCTCAATATTAAAGGAATTGAAGTATGGTTATCTGCATTAATTCTCAATTCAATAAGGAGATAAATTTTTCTTTTTATTTGTTTATTTAGAAACTTGATTATCTGACATATTTACAAACATTTGATCGTCTATATGACATACCAAAAGAGCGTAAATTGCATGAATATAAACAATATTTAGATCAACATTTATTTACTTATTTATTCGATTTTTTGAAAAAAATTAAACCACTGATCGATATTGATAACGATTTAGCCAATGTTAAACAGGATTTTGAGTTGAAATATAATGATGGATTATTTCCAGGTTGGCCGGTAAGTATCAACTAAATACTAACAACATGAAGCGAATACGGATTAAAAACATTGAACAAATCGATCAGAAAGAAATGTGAGGCTATCGTTATTAGTGCGTATGAAGAAGTGTATCTTGATTATGTTGATAAAGATATTAATTCAATATAAAACGTAGAGTAGTGGAACCCAAACACGAGACGACGTAGAGAATGGCAGACGTCACTAGGGAATAGATCATTTATTAATTCTTAGGTATTTTCTTTCCTTTTACCGATTAAATTATTATTATTCTGATATAATCTAATAATATAATATATTAGTAAACAGAATATATCGAAATTGAGAGAGATTTTGTGCATAATTTTGAATATCAGACGTAGAAACTTTATTTTAAGATATATCAAGAGGCTTATTTATTGTTGTTTTCTCTTGTACTATATGAATAATAATCAGAAATAGTTGAATTTTGTTCAGACAGTATATTGTATTAAACTGAAAAAGATGGTAGTTTACAACACGACATTTAAACGGTAACTTCCACGTAGGTTTAGATTGGTTGTTAACCATACGCTACTACTGAATTAACTCGTTTTACTAAAATTAAAATTAGTTTTTTATGATACGTAGCTCATGGATTGATTTTATTGAGTCTATCTTTATTTTTATTTTTTTATATTTTGCTGTATCATTTTTAATTATTTTAGAAAGAAACTGGTGGTGCTCTAGCAAAAGGTGGAGCATATTTAGATTTAAATGCATTTTCATCTCCAGAAGTATGTTTATTCTTGATACACACTTTATGTATATACATTTTCTACCATTTATTTTTAAGGAACTTGCTTCACTGGGGCTTGATCGATTAAAATCTGCATTACTAGCACTTGGAATGAAATGTGGGGGGTAAGTTGAACACAATATCATCCATTGATAAATACGACAGTGAAGTTATAAACGTCACCAAGATCATAGATTGTCATCTATTGAGACGAGTCCGACAGCGTGTGTCATATAACAGTCTAACAATATGACTAGGTTTCGTTTGAACTACTGTGTGCTATTGTATGCGTGTGTTTTTTAGTTATTATCGTATGTGTTTTACTTTTTAGTACATTGGAAGAACGTGCAAAACGTTTATTTGCGGCTAAAGGCAAATCATTTGATGATATTGATCAATCATTATTTATGAAAGAAACAACTAAAGGAAAACGGGGAACGTAAGTGAACTTCATGCATTCCTGTTTAGATGTCTTTCATCTTTTTATCTACTTTTAGAAAAGAATCTGAACGTAATAAAGAAATAGCCGGTTTAGAATCACAGATTTATCGTTTAGTTGAGTTATTAAGCGAACAGCGTGCATCTACCATTGAAAATATTAGACGAAAACAGGCGAGAGCCGGTCAGTAGAAAAATAACAGTATATTTTAGAATGATAAATGTAACACTTGTAACTTTTTAGGTGAAGAAAATGAGGATGATGATGATGCAACAGCGGCGATCAGTGATGATGAATCAGATACAGAAGAAGATGGTCTAGTTTATAATCCAAAAAATTTACCATTAGGATGGGATGGAAAAGTATGTGTTTGAGAATTAAATATATTTAATTCGCAGGATAAACTCCACCTGTACTACTCATTAATAAGTCTTTTTATGAGTCAAATTATTTATCGATAATCGTTCATAAAGTTAGCTTTGTTCTTCTCTTTATTTTTTAGCCTATTCCCTATTGGTTATACAAATTACATGGATTAAATATGTATTATAATTGTGAAATATGTGGAAATCATAAATATCGAGGACCAAAAGCATTTCAAAGACATTTTGCAGTATGTATCTTTCTCAACTCTATATTCATATAATACTCAAAAACACATGATTTTTTAGGAATGGCGTCATGCACATGGGATGAGATGTTTAGGTATTCCAAACACGGCTCATTTTGCCAATATAGTATTGATTGAAGATGCTATTGCTCTCTGGAATAAACTAAAACATAACAAAGATGATGAAAGATGGAAACCAGATATGGAAGTAGGTTTATTTGAATAATTTATGGATGATAGTGGTTAAATTAATTTAAAGATTGTTTTTTGTTCCTTTTCATCAACTCATTTTCGTGGCAAAAAGTAGCTCTGTCTTGGAAATTTTTTCTCCGTTTCAAAAAATGAAGACAAAATCTATTATTGATTTCTTTTGTTATGCTTCCATCGTATCTACTCATCGCATTGCTTAATAACTTTTTATATTTCAGGAAGAATTTGAAGATTCAATGGGTAATGTTGTTAACAAACGGACATATGATGATTTGAGAAAACAAGGATTATTATAAATAAATGTATCATGAATTTTTTTTTCTTACCAACTTTCTTTTGTTTGTATGTTGTAATAAAGTATGTTTCTTCTTATTGTAAATAACAGAGCAATAGTTCTAAAACTAGATGTCATTGATAGAAAAGAGCATGACTTTAGTATTGAAAATGAGCAAATTTAAATCAACTAAACATATATACTATGGCTAATATATGTGAACTTCACTTTGTTTTTATTGAAATATCAATTAGATAAATGGCGGGTCTTGTTCTTGAAAATAATATGTTCGATTAAATAATAAAATTTGGCAACGATTGCTTTCATCTTGTATATTAGTCTGCAATCAATGTAGGAGACATAGGTGGATTGTACTCATAATTAGAAGATAATTTATTGGTAGATATAATTAAATTCAGAGTGTACAATAACGAATTCTCATTTTACATGCTCTCTGCTCTTTTTTATGTCAAGTCTAAAATGGTTAACAAACGTATAGCGGTACTGGTTACGAATAAGAAGATTTTCACACCAGCGAAAGTCAGAGCCATTTACCTGGTTAATATCTTCTAAAAACGACTTAGAAGTTTCAAAAAAAGGACCAAATTACTTCATGTGACTATATTCAAATAATTTACTTCGAAAATCTGGTCTTTTTTGTGATGTCTCGTACTTTCCTATACAAACAGTTTGGTTTAAGCTGTCAATAACTGCTCTAGTTTTGAATTCAAAATATTAGCTACAGCCAAGTTTCTTGCCATTCTAAATGGGATCTAAAGCAAAATTGTTGTTTCCTTCCTGAGAGTTTTATTTCGATTTCCTATCTGTAGGAAGATGAACCTTTGAATATAATTTGTTCTAAACAGTTTTATAGTCCGTTATTTTAAGATTACTCTTTTTGACATCAGTTATTCGGTAAATTCCACTTGTACGATAATAAACTAAATAGAAAATGTGAATCATTCATTAATCTTGCTGTACTATTCAATCTTAAGACTGAATATTGAAAAGTCTACAAGACTGAATGTCTGTAAGTCTAATAAATGGCCCTCCTCATATTTTGCTTATAATTTTTTTTCTTCTCAATCCTTGAACCTGACCGCTTTCCAAAAGATGCACCGTCAAATTCTCTACAACACTTGATCAAACTTATTTCTATACAAAGTTAAGGAGAAAAATGAAACGAAAAGTATTCAACATAACGAAAGGACCAACTTTCTAAATTATATTGTTTTACAAATTTTGGAATATTCTAAACAAGACTAACGACAATGAAACAAAACTGAAGATATTTTTCAGTACTTTAAAGTGCGCTCTTTCTCCTTATGCAGTTCACAGTTCGTTCAAATCTAAGTGAACACTGAAAAATCTGACATTCTAAAATTCATCTCAAGATGACCAAAATCTGTTATTCCTCGGCAGGTGAATTTATGAAGAAAGCTTTAAGGTAACTTTCGCAGCTGAATCTGACACAGGTATCATTTCTCGTCAAAATAAAAAAGGACCGAGCTAGAAAGGTGCTATTTCGGTGCTAGACTGGTTTGTATTGTGCATCTAATACTGGTTGATAAACCTTTTCAATGGCTACAAAATACGTGTATTCTCTTCTTTTCATCATCCAACCCAATGAAAGTGGTGAAACAAAACGTTATCTCAGCGTAGAAAGTTGGCCTTTTCATCGTGTTGAGTATTCTTCATTTCATTTTTCTGCTTAACTTGTTATAGAAATAAGTTTGGTCAAATTTTGTAGAGAATTTGACGGCGCATCTTTTTGAAAAGCGATCAGGTCTAAGGATTGAAAAGAAAAGAAATTATATGCAAAATACAAGGAGGGCCATTTATTCTGGGTCAACCAATACTATCAAGTCAAAGTCGTAATTTTATAATAACTAGTAAAAATTAACCTGGAGAGGGAAATAATCTGGATTTAAACTTGAGATGTTCCGTGTCTAAAACTAGATTTACAGCTCTTTCCTGTTAATGTTTATCATATATATTGGTGTGCATTATTAATGACATTATTACATGAAATTTCAGCGTTTTCAAATGCGTTTTCAAATGACTCCGAAAACAATAAACGAAGCACCCTTTTCGGACAAGCACAACTCGTTTTGTCGCCAGCATGCAGGGCACTTAAACAATTCCTAGCATATGAAAGAGCAGCCACCTGCTTTCGACAATGCAGCAGCAAATCGAACAAAACAAATAAAAATAAAAATAAACAAACAAAAGCCTTCCACTACATTGAGAGGCCATAAAAATATCAACATACAACGTATGAGCTCTTAAACATCAAGACAAAATACACCAACCCCTCCTCGGACGTTCCTTGAACAACATCGATTTTATCACTATCCAAGAACATCGTTGGCAAACACAAGAACAAGTCAAAACACACCTCGAAGCTCTAAACAACTTAACATGGCGCTTTGAATATTCCTCAGCTACATCGGAAGGACAAGGCGGAATAGGGCTACTTATAAGTCCCAGAGTATTGGCTGAAATGGCTCTTTAAAGAATGTGCGAGGATACAGTACAGTCGAATTTAATTCAGACCACCGAATCGTCAGCGCGGAGATTCAAGTCAGCTTTCGAGCTCCAAAAGCAAACCAATGCAAACGCCTGAAGTATGACTGGAACAAACTTAAACAAAGTTCCACACTACAAGCCGAATTCAATATCGAACTTCAAAACAGGTACATTCTACTACCCGTTTTTGTCGAATCAAATTTGAAAAAAGTTATCCTATTCCAGTCTATGATTTAAGCTCGGTTAAACTGACTTCAATACGTCTATATGTAAAAATACTAAGAAAAGTTATTTATTGTTCCTGAAGAGAAAGCCGGGTAAAACATGGTGAAATTGGCAGTTCGTTTGATCCATCTGTTACCATTTTAGAAGTTTCTGTATTTAAAAATGTGATTAAAAATGATATTAAATTAATATATAATTTATCATTATTAAATAATTCATCATTAGAAATATTAGATAAACTTTTTAATTTATTAAAATCTATTTTATCAATTGAATTTGTATATAAAGTATATTATGATATTTTAATATATGAACATAAAAAAATAACAACAACATCATTCGACTTATCCAAAACAATTATTAATTTATTGAATAACAAAATAAAAATAAAATTAACATTCTATACTTTTTTAGGTACATATATTGGATTAACATGTTATGATAAACGTATATTAATTCGTGGTGATGATTTTTTTGATATTAATGCTATGATATTGAATGCTCTTAATGAATTTGATTTTGATAATGTTTATAATATATATTGGTGTGCATTATTAATTACATTATTACATGAAATTTTAAGATGTCATATTACACCTAATGCAGACAATATGCTCCATTCCCCAGGTTATTCTTGTCCGGTCCGAACCGGCCGGTTTCCTTTTATGTTCCGGCGTGTTCCTTACAACCGGATTCCGGCTGACTGTTCTGCGGCAGGTTCCGTTTTGTTTCCGACGTATTCCTACCGGTTTGAGTCGAAAAAGTTGTCGGAATTTCCCGAGCCGGAAACCCGACGGAATCCGGTCGTAGGAACATGACGGAACATAAAGGAAACGACCGAAACAACGACAGTATACAATAAAACCAGTCGGTTCTCCGACGGTTTCGGGGGCTGGAACGATCGACCTGGGTCTCGTACACCAAAACGTTCGATTCAACATCGTCAAATTGAATGAATGAAAATGGCTTTTTAGCCGAATATATGTTATTTGGTTCAATAATATCTAGTATAGGTATTAGTGATGCTATATATATATATATATATTGAATAGTAATAAGTGGCATAAATCGGGAAATATTCAAACATTTAGAAATGAATTTAATTTATGTGTACAAAATGATATTAAATCAAATAAACAAAATAGAATTGATATGCCATCTAAGCATAATTTTCATGATAATAATGACGATGAAAATTGTATAACAAGAATAACAATGGGAAAATATTTTCTATCAGATCGTGGAAATACCGTTATATCTCAAAAATAATAAAATTATTTATGAAATGTCTAACAAATAATGACCAGAGACTAGTTTTTTGTACCTGCTTCCACTCTTGTACTCTCAAATTTTGTTTCGTTTATGCTTTATGATTATTCCTTTGGTAATATGTTACTATATTTATGTTTCTTTTTCATGTCTCTTCTTCGTTTCAACATTATGAATATGTCGATATATTTTGCTAATATGCGTGCTATGTGCTATTATTGCTCACGCAATTTATTTCGTCTTTAGAAATTAACTATAGTTTTTATCGATCATTTTGTTTGTTTCAGATTTGATTTAATATTATTTTGTTTCGATGAAGTAATATGTTAAGAAAGAAAGACAGATCAGAGAGCGGACGAAAGTGAAAAGAAAGAGGTTAATAAATAAATTTATTACAAACTACATCGTAAGTTGAGTGAGAACGAACAAACTAATAGACTATCGTCACTGAATATTCAAAAAAAAGCTTTCGGGTCAATAATCTCATTTGACTTACAATTTTTCTGTTGTCCATTCAACAACCGGAATCATCCTGTTTGAGTTAATGCATGGTCGAGCTGCCGTACTTCCATTCGACCAACAACAGCCCGTCGTCCTCTTTCTCAAGATCCAGAACATGTGCAAAAAGTGACAGATTATTTGTCTACAATGACCGATGAAGCACGCTCAAATATCCTGAAACAACAAAATCAATACAAGCAAAGATACAATATGAATCGAAGTGATCTAATTTATGAATTAGGTGATATAGTTCTCGTCAAGACACTTAATGTACGACACAAGTTTGATATTCGCTACGAAGGCCCGTTTCGAATTATCAACCGTATCGTGACAAAAACGTCGTTCAACATGTTAGAAAACCAACGCTAACTCGACAAGTTACCGTCGATCTTATTATTCCGCTTTACGAACGAGCGGATTTAATTAAATAATTGGGATAAAAAATGTCAAACAGTACGAAGACCTGTCATTTATGTCTTGATCATGTGAAGCACATTTTTTATTTTTATTTTTATTTCAACAATGCTTTCCGGGAGGATAGGATTTCGCCTTCGCGTCATAGTATTCCGGAATGCCAAGATGATTATTAATTTTTCTTGTGAATTATTGTGTGTACGAGGCAGTTTTGACATATCGACAACAATGATCAGTTCTCAGCATACCACCGTGCATTCGATTTGTATAGGTACCTGCATTCTGTAGCTGTGAAATGACTAAATATACACATATCTCATTCGATAGAGAATTCAATTTTAAACAAGAATATCGTATTTGAAAAGTTTTTAAACCTTGGCGCGGGATCTACAAATCGGTCGAAAGACAAGGTTCCCTATAAAAAAAATTCCAATGCGGCACTGGTAAAAATCAGTGCGGCACTGCCAGTGCACACCCGTGCGCATGGCATGCCATCGGTCAATAAACTAACCGTTTAAAGAAAACAAAATTTTTTGCTTAACATTCTTAACAATCTTGTACTATGCAGTTCGGAGCCAATAAGCAGGTTGCGTTTGCTCTCA